TCAGAACGATGTAGCGAGATGAAGAACAAAATAAGGCAAGTGTTCCTTTCAGTTCCCACTAGGCCTTAGAGAGGTTTAATTCATGTGATACAGATTTGGGACCTGATACAGTACCTGTTGTCATTTCCTCTAATAATTCCAGTAATTTCTCCTGTGTTTCATCGATAAGTCTTGTCCTTTGCACAACTAGGCGACGTAAGGATAAATAACCATTAAGCACAGCTCCTACCAGGCGCCCTTTATATTGTTGCTTGATGCTGTCTTGCTCCAAGAAGGATGACAGCAATTCCGTCAGCATCTTTAGTGCATAACCTAAACATAATATATACATGAAATAACTGAATGAAATTTAATTTAATTCTAATGCCAATATATGAAAATAAGTACAAACAAATTGTTATATCAACAAAATAAAATGTTATTAAAATGTGAAGATTTGCTCCTTTTTATTTTGCTGATGAAACTACTATTATTGTTATTTTTAATTGTTACATTTGTTTAATTTTTGGTACTACTAGCAATGCTAGTATAGTACTGATTACATATAGTACTCATTACGTCATTTAATTCTCCAGCACTACTAATTACATGTTTGAACATTTTATTAAAAGTGAACTAAAATTAAACAATATAAGATTTATTATGTTGATAATTTTATTGTATCTGAATGATATATTGCAAACATGTAGTGGACTAAATATTTATAAATATATAATTCAATAATACATCTCTAACACATTATAGACACATCCCCATCAAAATTTACTTTCCTTAATTAAAATCACCTGTCTTCATAACCTTGACTAGTCACTTTTCTATATGAATAACTGAATCAAAGCTTTGATCTCGTCAGTCTCAGAGCATGGTAGATGTGGTCAGTCTCGGAGCATGGAGCATGGTTATCTGTGTTCGTGGTGTGGAGGGTTCTGCCAATTACTGTGTGGTTCCCTTTTTAACCTCACACACTGTGTGGCCTGCCTGGTGCCATAAATGAATGAAATGGGTAAATTTATAAATATAGTTTTAGAATAATTTTAGTAATCTTGTTAAGATTTGTTGAAAAATGTTTGAAATTGATAATTTTGTTTAAAAATAAGAAATTCTGATGGAAACTTTGAAATATTTCTCCACACAAAGAAATTACAAAATTGGTTTTCAATTCTTATTAATTTTTCATTAAAATATTTTAAACATTCCCAAGCTTTTTCTATGCAAGTTCCTTTGACTAATCTACTTTGTCATTAACTTTATGCTATATGTGGTCTCTCAGCCTGCTGCGACTTGACATTTCAAAATACACCATGGCCACTGTACAGTTAACAATGTTCAGACAATCTGAACATTATTAACTCAGGTGAACGAGTTAAAACTTCATTATAATTCCATTAAATTTCTACATTATTACCTTGAGCAAGATCTGATGTAAGAGTAGTATCTTCCAAACGGTGAAGCTGTTCAATCTCTCGGGTCAATAATTCAGCTAAATGTAATAATACACCCCTGACTGCCAAGTACTGTTTCCAAGGGACAGGCTGAACTAGACTTTGATACAGAGACAAGAATTCCGCAGCACTCTCTCCTGCAGATCCCAGTTCACCCAGGAAGCCAGTCAACAAATCAAGCACCTTTATTAAGAAAAAAATTCATTTCAAGAATTCTGGAAATATTACACTAGAGCAACATTATGATCAACGTTCAATTTACCACTAAGGAAACTTACCTCGCGTTTACGTACAGGTACCAAACATAAACTTTCCAACATATTGCATGCCACTTGTCGCGCAAGCCTTGAGCTAGGATTAAACAACACCTGTTTCAGCCAGGCAGCATCAGACAAATGTAAACTTACAATACCACAAGTGCTCTGGCGCCATCGAAGCGCATATTTCTCCATTAGGTACAGTGCTCGCGCCTCCTCCTGAAAAGGTTCCCAAGAGATTTTGTCACACACAAAAGATCATAAAATGAAAGTCTCCATGCTAAAGCCATTGTTCTCTCTTCCGAAAGTCATGACATTTTGCACTGCTGCATTTCTTCGTATAATACATGCCTAGTTTGTCAATTGAGTTGAAACGACCACTTCTTCATAAAAGCCAAACTACTTCTACAGGCAAAAGGGATTTTGAATTTTGGAGAGCCGAAACCCTCTCTAGTTCACATGATGTGTATCTTTTATTTAGAATAAACAAATCTCTTACCTTTTTGATTGTTTTTGTGGTCTCTTTCTCAGAATTTCGAGGAGGCATGTGTGATCGCCATGCTTTATAGGAATGTTTTGGATCACCTCGCAGCCATTTGGTTACTTCTACACCTATACCTTCTGTAGGTCGAATTGTTGCCAAGGCGTCAACTGTCTTATCCTTTCAAAATAACAAGGAGAAATTATCATTACTTTATATTACATTTTACTGTTCATATATAACTGATTTTAGTTTATACATTAATAGTAGTAGTATTTATATTAGTTAGTATATATGTGTGTGTATATATATATATATTTATATTAATTAATAAGCTGCAATGGGACACACAAGAATTTAAATAAGTAAATAAAACAAAAATATAATGCTTACCTTATTTTTCTTGGATATTGGTTGGTCAGGTTTTATGAGAGACTGAAGTATTTTAAGACATGGTAGAATGATAGACTGCATCACAACTGGAGACCTTGAATCTTTACATGCAATCAGAAATAGTTGCATCACACAGCGTAACTTCTGTTCCCAACAAGAATCTTCCTTTTGCACTAGGGCAGCCAAAAGTGCCATTTCATGGCGAACGGCAAAAGCAAGATCTGATGTTGCTACATTGCCTCGCAAAGTAATACTAATACGATCCATTAATAACTGACGTAAGTCTTCAGTAGCAGGAGCATTATCTCTTGTTAACAGACATAATAGTTGGCGCACTTCTTCTTGGACCTGCAACCAGATTGTTATATGTTAAAAATATCTAAACCAAAAAGACTTTATGAAATTAGAAAATAATCACAATAGATCCTTTTCTACTATACTAATAAGGCCTTTTTAATTATTTATAGTGAAAATAGTTGCTATGTGCCTATTTCAAAATTTAATTATGATCTTCTTCTTCTTCTTCTTCTTCTTATTATTATTATTACTATTACTATCAAAATCATCATTACAATTGAATTGCTGGATGCAAAAACCCCATTACTCTTTTTTCCCTTCCAGATTCTCGTCTGGAGGGACTGGTCAACTGCACTCGCCAACATTTTCATCTTCTAACATCAACATTTTTCAAACTGTTTTTTTAAATTTAAAAAGTCACAGGAATGAAATGAAATTCAAAAAATGAAAAATTCGAACCTGCATTGTACCACGCCGCAGGTTATTCTCCAACAACTCTGCAATTAGACCTTGACTGCAAAGAGCTTGTCGAGATACTGGATTGGAAGCCAGTGCACGTAAAAGGGTGAGACAGTGTTCTGTTGCAGAGGTAGCACATCCAAAACAACGGCCAACGGAAGAGATTCCAGGAGGTGAAGATGTATTTCCAGAAACAGAGTCAGTCATTGTGCTAGATAAAGGCAGCACATTTAATCCGATAGCACGACTACCATTATCTCGCTGATTACGATCGTATGCAACTAGTTCACGCCGGCAAGCCAAAACACGCTGTAAAACACACATTTTCACACATTACAATAAAACACAATTTCATTCTTAAACAAAAGCTTCTAAACATTCTTCAGCAATGCTCAACTGTTTTATAAACTATCAAAAATAAATCAGTCACTTGCCTAAGAAAACTGTAGATACCCCCTGAGTTAAATGTTTTGGAATTAGATTAGGAAGAATATTGCTGTTGTAGGAAAGTGATGATAATGGTTTACAATGACCTATGATGACCATGATACTCTTTGAGCAATACTAGTCTGAACAGGAAATTTACGTTAACAGAGAATGCACTGACCTGGATGATTTTGCTCAGTTCTTCAAAGGAACTTTTGCATTCTCCACAATAACGCTGGGCTAGTAACTGGATAGCCCTGTTCACTTGAGTGCTACCAGCACTACCAGCTTGTATACCTTCATCCAACGCACGATCCAATCGATGTTCACTTATCTTCAACAATAATAGCTGTAAAAAAAAATAATTAAAGTGAAGATTTATCTAAAGATGAATAAAATTTAGGTTAATTTCCTTCCTATTATACACAATTCCAACTATACCATGTCACAACATAATAACAATATTCGAGTAAATCAAAAGAAATTATCTAACTGATTTCTAATTAATTCTTTTTACAATATCAATTTTAATTCACCTCTAGAGTTGGTTTGTTAGCAATAAGTTGCTTATAAACCCTGTCAGCTTTCTCCAGAAGAGAGTTAATAGTAGCCACTGTCTTCTTGCGATCTTCATCGCTTTCTATAGGATCAACAGCACAACAGGGTCTACCAGTGAGAGTGTAATCAAATTTAGCATACTTGCAGAAACCACAAGCATGGCACAGGAAGGGATCCTTTTCATCATAATTAATTGCTCTAAAAATAAAAATGTAAAATGTTAAAAATTAATACATTGAGAACATGAGAGCAAAAAATACTTGTTCACTTATGGGATTCACTTGATCAGGATAGAGTGTTAAAATTCTCCAAAACAAAATCACACAGTTCACTCACCGACACTTGTGGCATTGAAATACATTCTCCCCACAATTAGCACAGACCCCTGGGTTTGCAGGAACCGATGCTGAACAGCGAGGACACTGGAGGGTTTCAGATGAAGCTTGAATGTTTTCATAGAAATCAGCATATTCAATCATAAGGTTGCAGGCAACAATAGGTAAAGGAAACTCCATTTTCACTTCTGTTTGACCAGATGCCAAAGTAGCCTTTTTTGCTCTATGCCACATGGCTGAAAAAGTGCAATAGCATTATATAAATTAAAAATGTCTTTTCTATATATTTTAATCATCAATTCTATATATAAGTTTACTTGAAAGTTATTTCATGAAAGAAAGGAATGTTCACGACTCATTTAAGTAAAATAGTGTTTTGTCCCAGGTTTGGTTGAAATTCATCTCTTAAAAACCTATTTGAGACCCAGCTAGAAGGTTCATCACTGTTTGTAATGCACTTCAAATATAGTCTATAACTCTGTTGCTGGTAATAATGACTAGTGCAACTGTCCAAAAGCAATGGTGTATTTAATGACCTATCATCTTGTTGATACTTCCTTCGTATATAATTTTTTGAGAAAATGATCTACAATCAACTCGTGACCCTTGTTGAGGGAAGATTACCCTGCCAAAAACCCAGATTAGTTTCAAAAAGGTTGGTCAAATATCTAACTATTGGATTTCATTGAAAAGGTCAAAGAATGAACCCATACAGCTATACAGATGGAGGTACAGAGGAAGAGTAGAGATGATTAGCACCATTGTGACTCTGGACATCATAAAATTGTTTAACACAAGAGGACAGGACAACTTTAAATACATACAAGACTTCTTTGGAACTCAAACTCACATTGGTAGTTTTAGTTTATTTAAAAGAAGGAAACTATTATGCCAGGCAAATGATGGTACTAGGATGAACCAACCAAGCTACAGGTGGGGTTTCTGCAAGCCTCAGTTCTTGGCCCTTTCTTGTGCATGAAACTGTAAAAGAGGTCCTCACCAGGCTTCAAATGACTCAAAGTACTTCAATGAACAAATTTTTCACAGATGAGACCACTATACCTAAAAGTGGAAATGATGTGACATGGAGTTCTTCAGGGAAATACAGTGAGACTATCTCTCAGTGAAGAACCATGCAATATATCTGTTGTGATTCATTAAATATCATAGGCAGAGAATTGATGATACATGTGATGCCTACTTGCAAAGGTGTGCAACACAGCCTCTTTTCTGGCACACATAATGCCGAACACAGGGACTCTTGTCCAAAGTTGACTTTCATCCAGTTTCCTTGCTTCAATACTACTTTACACACTAGACTACACCGATTTCACACTTAGGTGGACATCACCAAGCTGAAATGTTGGACAATTCCTGGAGAATGCTAAATGACTGATGAAGAGCATGATGCCTGCACTAACATGACACTGACACTAACATGACAAAAGAAAATGACATGTTGGCAACAGCTTGAAGATTGATGGTGTTTAGACTAGAGGGGGGTTGATGAAGTTTACTGGTTTCCAATACTTTGATCTTTGACTGTCAGTGGTCCTGCAGTTGAGAAAGTCAAGAGAGGCAGTTGGAAATATCCAGCTTATTGGGCACTAGTTTTGTTAGTGAATTTGAAACATTATAAACAGCTCTCAATAAACACCATCACGTTTCTCCATAATGTTTCATAGTGATTTTCTTTCCTTCGCCTTTTTTCAACAGACGTTTCAGGTTTGCGACTTGTGTACACACACTGTATAGATACTGAAAACTTCATTGTATTGTGTTAAAAAGTACTTAACATACCTGGCTTGTTCTTCAATTCAACCACTGCCTGTACACTTCTATTGTTGTAGTATACATTGATGGTTCGAACCATCTTTGTCCTCTTCAAATCTCCAATACGCAGAGTTATTTTGCTAATTGTATGGCTACCTACCAACTTGACGATCTGAGTAGTAGTTGTGAACTTTGAATCAATCTACAAATAAATAAAAAATTTTATATTTAGGGAGGTCAAGATTTTGATACATATAATTAAAAATTGTCTAGTTACTCATTATGAGTTATAAGACAGGGTCAACAATTTATTAGTTTGTTTGAGAAGTGTCTTTGAAGAACTAAAAATTGAAGCACCGTAAGAAAAAATTACCTTAATGGAAGAAAGCTTAATACTTGACATTGGCACCTCTGGGTTGTTGCAAACTAAACAAGGTTCACTTTCTAGGTAATATCCATCCAATTCAACATACTGAGCTAAGTGCCCATACAAGTTAGCATTGGGATGATGAGCCAAAAGTTGATTTTGCATTCTAAGAACACTCACAGCCTGCTCCATATATATACCCATCTGAAAGAAAGAAAAAAAAAGAAAATTTATGAAGGCATCCACTGTCATTTACAGTTACTTCAAGTCTTTCATCAAAATCCACTTTAATTAAATATTTGCATTTGTACATCATGAATGGCTCTAAGAAAGTCAACACTAAAGGTAATTGAATCGAAATGAAAAATATCACATTCTCTTGATTATTGTACTGTTAACAAAATTTTACCTCTCATCCAAGACCTGCAACTATCAAAATTATCTCAATATAACGTATGCACGTAATCAAGCTACATTTTCTATATTCAGAAGCAAAACAAGTAGCTTTTCAGCATTTGCTATGGGATCAAGGGAAACTGGAGAAAAAACCTGAGTGTCACTCACACAAAAGATATGGACATAATTAGTATTTTGAAATCCATTCCAAATGTTAACTTATTTTACATCCAAATTGCATCTAATTCATTATTATCATTAAAATAAAAACTTTTGTTTTTAAAGCTCAGTTTTTGTTTCTTTTATATACCAGCAAAATAAATTCAACAATTACAAAACTGACTAAGATGAAAAACTTTGCCTTAAAAATTGATCGTGTTGTTTACAAGCAGACAGAATCACTTAAAAGTTTAGAAAGATTGCTCAAAGAGCTCATAGGAACATTTTATACAGGAAGATTCATGAGATAATGTTCTGGTTTACCTCTAAATAACATTGCAGAATTTGTTTTGCTGCTTAGATGAATAATTTGCTCATTGTCACTACACTAATTTTTATGAAGAAACAATTTCTTGAAGATTTACAATAATATATTTTGAAAGAAATTCAATGTAGTTTGGATTCAAAATATACATTAAAAATTAAACAAAATTATTTAAATGTAAATAATTAATTAACAACAATAATACTGATCCCTCTCAACTAGACGTAATTCCAGGTATAAGACAACCCTGTATATTTCAAATGAGATATTTAGGTAAATACTTTCCTTGTATTCAGGTAAGTAGAAGACTTGTTTTCACATCATTTATTATCATTTTGGAATCAAAATTTGGTAACTCAAAGAATACAACATTCAAGAATTTCCTTTCACAATTAAGTGTTGGTGAAGGTAAATTAATAGTGTAAAGGGTCTCAGAGCTTTAATACATTGCCGGACACCATACCTTCTTACTGTCCTGTTGACTTTTAAGAGAGAAATATCCGAGTAAATCCACAAATTGAGCAGCTTTACGCCCGTAAGCTGGTAATCGAGGCCACAACTTCCATAATAAATCCAACAGAGCTTCCTGATCAGCACTTGGAGAATTCCTGAGGAACAAAAGTAATCACAATAAAATCCACTCTTACGAATATGAAGCAATGGGTAAGGTATGCAGTCATTTCACCAACATATTCACATATGTAATAACATGAAACTATTTTATCAAAATCAATTTTGATTTAAAGGAAAATTACTTCACAAACTTTTAAAAAAATTAACAAAATAAAATTTGAATATAATTAAAATCACAATTACAATTAGCTAAGCCAGGGGGCACACTATACTCCAAGTTTAAGGGATACGAATGTGTACCACCTTGGGAGGATGTATACATATTTAAGCATTTTTGTTCTCTCTCAAATACCAATTTGGCAGAAGTGAATGGTTAAATCAATTCTTGCTCCTTGAATGGGAACGATGAACTGCATGATGCCACCAAAACAATCATTCATCTGACCTACATTTGCTATAATTTGGCACTAACTAGTGCACAAAAACTAATTCTATTTAAACAATGGCTTTCAAATTGTGCACATCGAGCATTCTCTAGACATGCCATAACTCATACGAAACACAAATGAAATATAGATCCAAATAAATAATCAAGATTTGCACATTTAATTTCCAATGTTAATAATTTTTTTGGCTTGGAGGCAAATATGGTACAACTACAGTACCACTGAAATTTCTATGCCATTCAAGGGAGCTGTAGGTCAAAAAAGTTTGAGAACCACTGCTCTAAAACATATTACAGAAAGTAATTAATAAGTTTTATACAATCTTGAAACATAAGTGATTATTATTAAAGTAATTGGATTGAAGAGAGGAAGAGAGAAAAGAAAAATCACCACACACAAGTTTAATAGTAAAATAAACTGAATAAATGACGAGAAAAATGTAAAACTTCAATTTTTCTATTTATATTTAATATTATTCTATAATACAATAGCTATTCATAATATAAAGTATTTAAAATATATATTAAAAATATTTAATGAATAGCTAAGGAAAACAATAATCTTACTTGTAAAATAGCAAGAACTTATGAATGAAGCCCGGCCATCGCAACATTTGTGGCATTTGGTGCTCAATAAGTAAGGTGCGAATAAAGCATCTAAAAGCCTCATGGGTATACAAGCAGTAATCATAGCGCCACAAAGTAGCACTGCAAGCTTCCTCAAACTTTGCTTCAGTATTTCGAAATCATCAGACTTTTCCTCGTTCTTTCCGTGAAAGGCGACAAGCCGATGTGTTCCCAGAGGTTTGGTTGCGCCCAGCGCACTGGGTACCAAGTATTGCTCGTTGAGGAGCAGCCAGGGTGGCAGTTGTACTAGAGTTCTGTAATTTTATTCATAATTATTTTTTGAAACAAAAATCTGCCAGATTAGAGTTATGAACAGAGAGTGCTACAATGAATGAAAATATAATGGAACAATTTTTTTTTTTTGTATAAAATCTATTTGAAAGTAAAAATGAATGTGCGATTCAAATGGGGGCAGACTTTGCTACCGACTAGTTAAGAAACTAACTAGTTTTCTCCAACTAGTTGTTTCTTTATCTTTTTAGTCTGGGATAACTTTTCGAGTTTTGTACAACACTCATCGCAATTTACGATCTTTATGGACTCCTTAAATACAATTTTTTTACAGTTTTCCTAATATTTTAGCGGTACATTTTTCTAATGATATCTAGCGGTTAGAAGTGAAAAACATGACTATATAATATTACTGCTATCAGAAAATGAGGTACAATCTGAATTCAGAGCATTGTTAAATAAAGAAAAGCTTCTGAAAATGCAGCTCATTTCCACCCACAAGCATTCTTCGAAGTCCTTCACAAGAAACTTGCTTGTGCCCTCTTAAAGTCTTAAATACAATTATGTAAACACCCATATTGTCAATTTTATCATTAGAGAATATTCCCTTTGATACGTAATATACATATCACTCATACGATAAAAATAAGCAGTAAAAAAATACAAAAGAAATCATATAGATAAAAAATAAATATAATAAGAGTTAAATACTACCAGTGTATAAAAATGTAGAAAAAAAGGCAATATCAATTTCTAGGATTTTAATTTACAATATGTTCTTTAATGCTCTTAAAAAGCACGAAGACATTAAAATAAATCAGTAACTTGTTAGAAGCTATTTCTATTAAAAGGTTGTCATTTATTAAACAGCAAAAAAAGAGTAGGCTTCTAGTGGTTTTTGGAGGAAACCAAGAGACAAAGGGAAAGTTTCAAAAGGATAGAGATGATAATTACCAAACCACTCAAATCATACTGATAGCTCCCACAAGCAGCAAGGCGACATTTTTCTAAATATCAAGCGACAGCACCTCCAATGGGGATTTAAAATTAATAATTATTATATACCAATGTAGGAGACATTGAGTTAAGATATAACAAGAAACTAACCATTCAAATATTGAAGAGGAGAAGAGGTCACATGAAATGTCATCCACGGCCACCAAGCATCTTAACGAAAAAAACTAATAACTACCCTTGGAATGAAATATGCAAAGCTGACCTTTAGGAATTGTAAATGGCTGAAAATCAGGCTGTGTCATTTGAACTTGCCAGTGGAGCTGCATACATTATACTGACCTGCCATAACATAGAATTGTAGAGCTCTTTAAGTAATAGTCATCATGTCTGTTAGCCCATCATATGCAAATCGACATTAATATCGCAGATATTTCTTCCAGAAATCAAGAGAATCGCAAAATATACTTGCCGTGTGGCGAATTTCGAATGTCGAAAGAGAGACCTGGAGAACTCTTTTCACTTTTGTAATTATCATGTGCCAAGGAACTGAAAGCCACAGACTGTCTGACATTTAGATCAAATAATCAATGCTTTTGATACTTACTTCGCCTGATTCAAAACGAAGTTCTAAACTAAAAATAAATCATGGATTACTAAACAGGCATATGCATAGATCCACACATGAAACATTGTGGAGTAAAATTTAAGACTATTACCAGGTTTCATCACAACACAATAAATATAAAAGAGATTACATATAACAAACAAAATTCGAAATCACAGAAAGAGTTTATGAACAAAACAAAGGCCAAAGGCAATCCGTACTATATTTGTAAATCTGTACACTTCATTCTTCTCTAATGTTTCTGTTCCACACACCCTCCAAAAGGAAAATAAGCGAAATTACTTAAGATAATTTAATTACTTAAATATTTTAAAATTTTAGCAATATCTCGAATTATTGCAAGTCTATTCTTAATATTCCATAGCCTATGAAATTTGTAGATATATTTATCATGTATAGAAATATATGGAAACTAAGTAAAATTATTACAGTTCAAAATGCCGCCTGGGTTTTTAGACTCATATGGTGAGGTACAATGCTGAGACAATATATTCGTAGTAGAGTAAAACTTGCTCAATGTGGAAATCTGTCTAATGGGAACATAAATCACAGTCCTTACAGACAAATTCTACAGTATTACGTTGCATAATACCAAATCTTGTCTAATGCAGAAAAAAAATATGGGTCCTTTAAGATCGGCATTGAGCAAGTTTTCCTGTATTTAGCATTCTTACTCACTGAAGTACTTGATGCTTTGGATCCACATACAGCACACTGTAGCAACTGTAGAATAGTGGGAGACACTCCTTCATCAAGTAGGCAAGCGACTTGCAGTAAAAATGGAAGAGTTTCTTCATGACACTGACAATAACGCTGCCAGTTCCCAGTTCGACTTGTAGCAACTTCGACACAAGCTTTCAAATGCTCAATCAACTCGACCAATGAATCATAAGGCAAGCTAATGCAATGAGGAAGTGAAGCCCCAAAACCACTCTGAGGATCATAGCCACCTCCTCGGCAGCATTCCTGAACATCCTGGAGAGGCATGAAAAAAACATTATTCTCCAACATTCCCTGATCGAAGAGGTAAAAGAACATGAAAGTTCAAGAAACACTTAAAGCAAAAATGAATATTATATAGAAAATGAAATATTAAAATTTCCTGTAATAAAGATGTACAATTATCGATTGCATTAAATATTTTATATTGGTTTGTGTAAATAAGGGTTCTTTGCTTTACAATTCTTACCTTCATATGAGATTCCAGAGAATGTAGGTCACGCAATTGTCTGTACTTTTCTTTGGTTCCACATATAAATAGCAAAAGTTTGCGCACTTGACGTCGAACAAATGGTGTTTGTTGGGTCATCATGTACTCACATAAGAAGTGAAACCATTCCTGCACATAAACATGTTCATAATGTGTATCATATCTTTGAATAAACAATCAGCGTAGAAATAATAGGCAATATAATGAATTTACAACATGTATTGCAAAACGAATGATGCTACAACATAGCCCAGACTTTGTACTGTACCTGCAAATGGTTATGTAAAATATGATAATTGTACTGCAAATTACATTTCTCTAACATGAGTATTTCAGCTATTTTGGACAAAACTCTTGTAACACAGCACACAAGTGCATTTTCCTTCCCCTAAAAACTCCCTTTTGGAAATTGACATGCATGGCCTTCCATGTCAAAACTAAAACCATACATATCAATGACTTTCAATGAAATTCATTAACATCACAACAATGATCAAAAGTTTCTTTGGCTTTAAAAACTTGAATCCACATATTGACACAATGACTTTGATTTCTTTCCTTTAATAGTTGTATTGTAGATGGAGTGGTTTTATGAACAAAATATGTAACAATTTTTTCTGTTTTCCTAAATTTTTTGTTCAATTGGCAGACTATTTGAAACATGAGTTTTGTACTATCCTTCAAGAACAAAACCATTTGTTACATTCATGACAAAATCTCTAGCTTCAATACTGAAGGTGTAAGAAAGTCCAAAGAGAAACTAACTTACAAAAAAGAAATTGAAAATTCAAGAGTATGTGTTTGATCCATAAAAGTAGATCAAAAGTAAAACATAGTAAAAAAGGATGAAGATGATGATGATGATAATGATAATAATGATGATGATGATGATATTATTATTATTATTATTATTATTATTATTATTATTATTATTATTATTAATAATAATAAAAATGTCGGCCCCGTGGCGCAGACGGTTGCGGTAGCCATCATCTGGGCCGAGGAGGCTGCAGGTTCGAATCCTGCGTAGACATGGTCATATTTGTGATTGTCCCTTCACCTATCATCATCATCATCCTATCATCTCATAAGTCACATTACAGGCGTAACAACCTTGTTGTTAATCCAAAGGATACGAAGCTGAAAAGCTGATCCTGTAGAATACACACGTTAATCGTTTTTGTTTGTTGTAGCGTGGTCCAGTAATGTAGACGCGCAATGAATAATAATAATAAATTTTTTCTCACTCAAGTTATTTTACATTTTGTATTTCATATATCAATTTTGTTTATACTTTAAAATTGTATAAGAATGAGTTTTGTATAATTAATTAATTTCTTTTTCTATTAGAAGTCAAATTTATTATTGTATTGTTTACACAGTATAGCCCATAAATTAAAACTTTCTTATCATATAAAAAAAAACTTCAAAAGAAAAATGCATTGCAACTAACCTTATTAAAAGTAGTGGAGATTGCAGTGTTATCTGCTTGTTTCTGCACTTGGTATGGGAGTCTTAGAGCCATTTCTGTTAGAAGTTGTGGATAAGCTTCAAACACATCCAGAGCATGGCCTTTCACATACTGTCGAAGGAAGAATGGTGACATATCAGGGGGAGATGAACTTTGATGTGGCTTCAAAAGGGCACCTCCTACATTAGTTCCAGGTTCATCAATTGACAATCTGTAATGTTCAAAATTAATGTTAATGATGCACATTATAATTTTCATAATTTATTTATTTTTGAGGGACAAATCCTCTTTTTCCAATAAGGATATACTATTATAGTTTGACATGCTAAATAGTTTAAGAAAGACTTTATGTGATACCATGTTCATTGTAATATACATATATGTATCAGATTGTTTGCTGTTACCATTCCTAAATAAATAACAAAATAAAAAATTGAAATTTTTGGAATTAGAAACAGAATTAGCAGTAGAAGCAGCAGCTCCTGCAAAAGCTGTTATTGAAATATCCAATTGTTCAACAACACAATGATACTAATTCTACCTAAAGAATACTTACGATTTCCAGTACGTCAAAAGTGATTTCAAGAGGGTTAAGCAATAATCCACTGCTCCTGCCTGCATTAACACTGCAGCAGTTGTTTGGGATACAAAAGTAGAATTGTCATGTGCAGTCTTGGAATTGGATTTAGAACGAGACATTAGCACACCTGCAATAAATCATAAACAGTATTATTACCATAGAATTGTTTTTATTCACATCACAGTAATACTATATTCAGTTAGTTTGAATACTCAAGCACTCATCTCTCATCATAATTTAGCACAACTAAATACAGAATCATTAAATATCAGAGAAATGCCAATAATAGGAACTAAAGCTATCATCTCTCAAGGTCAACAAAAGTTTCATTTGAGACACATTTCTCTTAGAAGTCTCTCAATATCCTCATTTCACTTTCAAACTGTGATACATTCATGTAATAATGATGTACAATTTTTCATAATTACACCATATTGTTAACATTCACCATATTGTTTCATGTTAATTACTGAAAATAAGGGCACAAATGAAATATTATATTCACATGTAAGTATAACCTAAATAACCAAATGGAAATACATGTTTTAGTAGGGAAAAAATTGCTGATAATTATACATGAATCAAATTTCTGTCACCTGATATACCTTTCCCCCAATCTTAATTCCTCTGGGCCTGCAACTTCCCATCCTCCAGCTCACTCAAACACAAGGCATTCCCTTTAAGCCAACTTCTATCAATACCTGATATATTAAATAAAATAATTCACATATAAATGTTAATCACCTTTGAGTTAACTGGATATAGATTTGAAAAACAAAGACAGTTGAAAACCAAACATTAGAATGTTTACTGAGTCTAGGCCATGTGAAACTACTTCAAATTTCTTAATTCTGGATAGGTCTTTACAAACAAACAAACAAAAAATATAGAAAAAGGAGGAGTTTAAAAATATCTGAAAACTGATTTCCTGCCCAATTCTTTACTTGTCATTCTTAGTTATAGGTTATAAAACAGAAATATTGCTCTTACACCTGATTAACATGTGTTTTTATGAAGGATTTCAGCATTTGTTTCAAACCTTAACATGTGCATAGCAGCTCTACCTATTAAAAGCCATTGTGCACCCATATTCACTAAAACTCCTGGAATCACTCATTGCAAGAAAGTATGTAAATCAGGTCCTATTTATGTTCACATACTCCATAAGCCGTATTACAAAAAGAAAGACATCTATTACTGTTGCTTTTCTAACTTGCTGTACACTGCTGAAGCCCAAAAGCTATATGCAGAAATCCAGGGACACTACTCCAAATAGTTTGATTTCAAAGAACAACAAGTAATTTAACCAAAATTATAAACAAATTCAAAAAGTATTATTATGCAAGATAACTCACTGAGTAAACGCATGATGACAAGGTGTACTTCACGTTCTTTAGTACGCTCGCATATATTGTTTGTATTTGGCTCTTTCATATGCAATTCTCCCACTACCGTGTGTAGAAGATTCTCCAAACAAATTCTATCTTTTTCTTCTTCTCCATCCAAGTCAGAAGTCAGCATCAACAAAACCTTTTAGCATAAAAAATAAATTCCATTAATGACATGCATAACATAACAAATATTACAGGGCCAAACAAATTATTCTCAATGGTGATATTTCATACCTGCATGAAAGGAATTGAACGTACACCACCTACAGTGCGTAACTGAGGTACAAATTGTAATAAACGCTCAAGCACAGCCAGTCGTAATGCATGCAGACGAGAACTATTTTCTGTATCTGGTTCTGGCTCTTGTTCAGGTTCCAAAGTGTCAGCATCTTGGGCCTGTAGAAAATCATGTACAAATGAACATTTCAACCTTCACTCTTTAAAATCAACAATAACAAATTATTAATTTAAGTCTCCTGCACCTCAAATTAAAAACATGACTGATCTTTTCATTGCTTAATACTTTTAATACTTCGATTCAGTAGATACAATGAAAACCCAAAAGTTAACACTTTAAGAGGGCATTAATACCAGGAGACAAAAGAATTTTCTGTAATTACCCCCTTTGAAAAATAATTAAATGGTGTATGTTAAATAAAGACAACATTTTACTATATCTCTGAACAATCACATAGAAAAACTTTCAATTGCCTATAAAGAGTCATTAATGTGAAAAAATTATTTTTAACCACAAAAGAAACAAAATGCTTTTGCATACAATTACTATCCACTATGTATAGCCTTCGCCCACATAGAAATAATTGGAAAAGTGCATTTCTTTTGAAATAGATATTCACAGAAATTTTCCAGGTTAGTTTGTTTGAGCTTTGTTTAGATTAGGAGTAAATGTTTTATTGGTTAGGAATTTTTTTATTAGAACCACACTGAACCCTTTATGATAATTTTGGCTTTCATTGCTTATAACATTCTTACAAAAAAATATCGATGCCATTACCATGTATAATCACTTCAAGTCAGCTGTTATATAGTTTAAAGAACAATAAAGTAAAAAAGCCATCCGTGTCTCAGTGAAACTGACTGCAAATACAGAAAATGTTCAAAATACATACATCATTGCTATACTTTAAAAACTGAAAATATTGTAGCACAAACATGCAGGAAATTATTTTAATATGTTGTTAAATTACATGTTTAATTAGTAATTATATACATATAAAATTTTCCATTATATTGCAATTTATTTTGAGGTCCCTCAAGGTGTTCTCCGAGTTCTGGAATGGCATTGGTACACAACTGTCAAAAATTGCTTCAAGTCCATTTCTTGCTTTTTAAGCAATATTAACATTATATACAGAGGTGGCTAATTTATTACAGCAGAGTTATTGAATGAGACAAAAAATTTACTTGTAACGAAAGATCTTGACAATAAACTGTGTGTAAAGGTTTCTAACGATTTATAAACATAATTTATATAGATAATTAACATACATTTGTTGTAAGTCATGTTGAAAATTGATTTTTCGTCCTTTTCTTTCTATTTCAGATTATTTGCCAGATATGAATGAGTTATTTTATGAGCTAGTTTGTATGGCCATCTTTTTTCTCAATTTCTTTTAACTTTATTAGATCAAACATATTCTTTGAGATTCATGACAGGGTTATTTGTAGCCCATTAAAGCAGACACTGGTCAATTTCTTATATTTTCTAACTTTCTTTCCTATTGTAGCACAGAGTCCAGTCATGCATGAATATGCATGGATTTTTTCCAAACTATTCATTTGTTTGAGGGAATTTTTGGTTCTTTACAACCTGTAGAGATTGGTTGCGCCTCATTGTATCATTAACTGATGTATACATTTCCAGTACCATTAACAGGTGTTCAATTTAAAACCATTATCCTTTTCAGATGTTTCTGAAGACAATTGTAATTTGTTAATACAAGGAAAAAATATTTTCTATAATAATTTAGTCATCTCTGTAATTCTTCACTTCTATCTCCTACTAACTTCTTTATTCTGTTCCCTTTTGTTCTATCAGGGTTTCTCTGAAATCTCAATCATAGTCAATCAATGAAAACTAATTAAGTCTCATGAATATGAGACTTTAATATTACACACAACAATTTTCAACTTTAAGGAATTACTTAAGCATTCTTCCCTCACCATTTTGTCTCAAACTGCTTACAGAAAGAGCCATCATCTCACCACAGCAAAAGTATGTTCTCTAGTTCTCAACCTTCTTAAATTGACAGTAATAGAAAAAAGAACATCTCTTCAACAGTGGTAATACATAAAAAGTTATACATTGTAAGTAATACAAAAAAGTTGAAAATAATGAACTACAACAACTATCATTACACAATGAGAGCATGCAAAACTACACCACCCAGCCAGACCAGAGGAGCAACCATTACTTACCTGATAAGGAGCAGGAGCTCCTAAGGATGATGTTTCACTGCGCACCACAGCCAATGGCTCAGGGGCATTATCCCCATACGCTGAGCTGCGCCCAGACACGTTGTGCTCACCCGTAATTGAGTCTGCACCACTGCCACCACTCTCAGATCCTGCACTGCCACCCTGTGCCACACACACCAGAGCCTTGCTGTCAGACCCGTAACCCCCTGCATTTCTCAACATTCAAATATACATTTTCACAAAATCCCAAGGATAGTATAGACACTGATTACAGGGCTTCTACTTTTATGGAATGGTTCATAACGATGTATTTAAATTTTATACAAATTTATTTACAAGCTGTACAATTTGCTAGAAATAATGAAAGTGGAATAATTAAATTAAAAATTACATTTAAAAAAATGTAATTATTAAGTTTTTACACTACCATTAAATTTGTACATTTAATAAATTTATAGGAAGGGTTAAGAGTATTCTTTTACTACAAGTTTCCACATTCTTTCTCCAACTAAAGACAATCACAACTTCAAAGAAATTTTGCTCAACTTATAGATTACATTTTGAATGGCATGAATTTTCAAATGCTTGAATGAAAGTAACAAATCCGATTGTCCCCTCTCATTCATTACTTTTGTAAAAAAGTGTTTCGATCTTGGCCTTTGTTTCCTTTGCTTTTACTTTAACAGATCTAAATAAAAAATTAGTAGCTATAATCCAGTTATTTACAAAAGTGGATTTTTGAATCCTTCAGAAAGTTTTCCTTTTCTTACTTTATCTTTTGTAAATTTTGAAGGCAGATTTACAACATTCCCACTACCGACAAACCATTCAAATGCTACAGAACTAAGATTTTTGCCATTTTGCAGACAAAATATAAAACAAAGTTTAAAACTCACAGATGAGTATGTTTATTATATATGAATCTCTTGTATTAGCCATAGTTGTAATTTGTAGAAATTATTGCTTCTGGTTACTTTCGAGTTTCCACAATAAAACACCAATAATTCCTTTTACTATGTTTAAAACACAGTAACTTAGAATTAAGCATCCTTTGAAATATCCATTTATTAAACTATTGTAATCATCTATATAATGTATCAACTCAATAAATCATTGCATGGAACAGGAACGTAGTCACCCAAAACACACTCCAAATACATTGAATTTTCTGAATCACATTGACTGATTGATGTTTCTGAGCACACCAACTCCTGTGGTCTTTGGTCACATTAGTGAAGTTAATTTTTATTGACTAGTGGGTGATTTTCTTAATGAGGAAGACACTGGAGAAAAAAAGAATCAATCCCTCCAGGCTTTCCATTGGTAAACAACACATGCTAGTACTTAAACATACAAAGGATTTTTCCAAAAAATAACATATCGTCCCCAATTGATTTGTGTCATCAATACCCTACAATTCAAAATTAACCTTTTAATTTATTTTGGGGGTATTTCACATTAAACTCCAACTATTTTTCAAAATTGTTCACAAAAATAGCTTAAAGACTCAATTGTTTTTGACAAAATTGTTTCTAGAATAATCACAATTTTACATTCACAACTTGAGCAAATTTTATTTATTTATATACATATAATTACAGGCAATCGCCCAATTATTAAATATCATTTACATTGTCATTTATATTACAGTATTATTGAAAATCATTTAGTAACAGGTTTTTATAAGTTTTTTTTAGATTTTAAGATGGGATTTTTGATGAGATGATACATTTTGAGATGTTAACTGTACAATTTCAAATAGTGATGGATTTTTCTTTTTCCTGTTACATATTAACTGCATTTGTACTATTTTATTTGTAACTATTTACAATTGTTCATGTGACATTGTCATCGTTAATTATTAAAAACATTTTCTAATGATCAACTACTGGGTCTTTGTTACCCATCATATTTGATATGTAATTATTATACATATAATATTGTTTTTGTGTAGGGAAATTGGCCGTTTTATGAAATAAACAAATAATGTAAAATATGCTCTTAAGAATGATGTAAGTTCAGTTATTGTCCCTGAATTTTGAAACATTAGGAAGGCTTAAAACATTTTGAACCTTCTCCAGCAACAACATTAATAAGTGTATTTGTTGGGTTTTCTTAAAAGCTTTTGGACGATTTTATTTTAGGACAGGTTTAAAAAAACCTGTAATTCAAAGAAAATATGTCAGCATAGAGATTCATTGCATTGATCATTACCACAAAAGTAACATACTTTAAAAACAACTTGATCATATATTTGGCAGTGTTTGAACCAACCTGGTCTAACTCCTTTTAACGAGTAACTTTATAGTGACAAACCATGCAAATAAGAAGTGCAGAACATTTATTAATTAAAATTAAATAGTAAATAAGCAAAATTTAATAATAAAAATGTTGAAAGAGTGAAATTGCTAATTACAAATAAGTTGCTCAAATTTGACTTACAAAATAGATTCTAAGTACCTTCAGTTTATCTAACTTAAGGTTGAAAAGGTCTAGTCAGGTCAGTTGGTAAAAAGTGACCCCATAAACTATGAAATAAAACAACTCCTTTACTCACGCAGCCATCCTCAATTAAAACTGAGTTTTTTATATTGTAATTTTCTAACACCTTAATACTTGGAATTTACGAGATGAAAATTACCCTCTTTTCTAAAACATCTTTCCTAAAATTAAACTATTTTTGAAAAGTTTAAAACTTGTGAAAACTTTTTTCTTGAAATTTTAATTTTTAAAATATTTTTATTTAAAGTTAATAAAAAAAACCAAAAACATACTATATTTAGTTCTGAACCAATGCTATATAGGTTGCTGAGAAGTTATGAAATGATAACACTGTATACATATCATGAACAATTTAAGGGCTTGAGGCCAGTAACAGCCTCAGCGAAACTTACTATTCACAACTCATTTCTGGTCAATGTGTTTTTTATCTCTCTACCGCTCCAAACCCTTGCAAAATACTGCAATGCAGTACTAATCATGAAAATATTGCATAGTGAAGATGCCCTCACTCTAGAACCCAATACACCACGAATAAGTGACACATCATGTCGCTTAAAGAAAACCCTTAGAAGTCATACTCTGCCTCCTTGTCACCCTCAAGCCAAAGAGAGTTCTTTTTCAACCCAGGTTGTAAATCCGATCACATGTGCCCACCAGTTAGCCCCATCCACTTTTATAATAAGACAAGTCAACCTTTGCTAAGCAAAGGTTGACCCACACATTCCCTGAGCTCTACATTTCAAGGGAATATGTCAATCACAAGTGTGCTAACTCAGACTTACTAAATTTTGAGGTCCTTTCATGAATTTATCACTAAAACTGCATATTGTAGAAACAATGGTTAAGACAACTCAAACTACTGTCTTCCTAGTTTTTAGATGAAAACTAGCAGATGAACTGTAAGTTTTAGTATTGAATCGACCAATATAAAAATAATTTGTTGTTCCTGTTGCGTATTTCCTGGTATCTCGACTAGCAGAAAGAGCAACAATCTAGAGGAAGAAAAGATAATGTGCGATTCGTGGCCGGTTTGTTAGGGTTTTACTCTGGTATTCACCTGGTTTCTTCAGAGAAGCTATAGAAAACAAGTGATTATTCCAGAATGTTGCCAGAATTCTCATCCAGACAGCGGCTGAATTCAACTCAGTTGTTTAACTAGTGTCAAAATCAACCATCGTCAATTGCAACACTAGGAAATCACAGTCACTGCAGAGGCAGTGGCAATGCTTCAGAGCTAAGTTCAGCTGATAAACATTAATTTTTGAATTGTAGTAAAAAAACATTTTACTTAATTTTGCTGCCACTGTATACCACCTGACCCTGTTACACCACTTGACGTTAGTTAACATAGTAGATTTGTTGTTTGTTTTTATAATATATGATCAATGTAGATGAACCACAGCATGTACTGAATGATATAAAAATCAGTGAAGAACATAAATTATGCAAAATTGAACACAGACTAAATCTAACACAGGGCCTGATCACAATCCGTCTTTAAAAAAAATTATGAATACATTTTCTCAAAGATGCTCAAGGTTTTATTTTATAAATCTTTGACTGAGGGACTTTTCCTTGTGTGTGGAAATCCTCCATTGTACTGATCTTCAAGTCTAGTAGCAAGAACAATAGAAGAAACAAAGAAGCTAATCTTATATATTACTCAAGGTATATTCTCAGCATATCGGAGCTTAAATATTAGATCAATTACATTTCCACTGACATCAATACAGCATTTGATTCTGTAAATAATGCCATATTCATCCAGCAAACTTTAGCATTTTGGGATTTGCAGACCTCTTGTTACAATGGTTTAGCAGGTATTTATCTAATTATGTTGTTTGTATTATATAAAAATGTTATGTCTCGCCCAATTCAGATCACATCAGGAATTCCATAAGGATCACATTTGAGACATCTTTTGTTCAACACTGTTAAGTTATGAATGATGTTAAATATCTTCTATTTGGAGGTAACATTAAGATCCAATCAGACACTGACAGAATTCAAATTAAATGCTTTGACCGAATGGTGCACACATAAAGAACTTCATCTGAACACTACAAAATGCAAAGCTATCACTGTAACTGAAACTGTAAATAGATTCCAATCAATAAAAGCCTAAAAATATGCTCTGAATTCCACGGTGTTTGAAAAGGTTACAACCGCAAGACACCTAATAGAGATTCACAAATCTGAGAGGACTTTTTTTTAAATCATGCACAGTGCACCATTACCAAATAAAATAATATTTTCAGTTTTATTAGGCCCAATTATCAGTTCCGATAATCAAATTTTGAAATTGTTATACTGGATGTGGATAAAACCAGTTCTGATGTTCTCATCAGTTGTTTGGGTATTTATATATGCAAAATTATATAAATTAAATTTATATATTATAAATGCAAAATTAAAATCGTGTAACAAATATTTTATAACATTGTTAGCAGTAGACTGGGTTTGAGTGACTCTTTTGTTAATCATGATTATAAAACCAATGCATTGAGATTGAATATACCAACACTTAAATCTCAGCAGCATTTGACAGATTTGATTTTTTTGTGCAAATTCATTAATGGCAGTTTTGACTGCCTTCTTTTTTCCAAAAAATATTGTACATAACTTCTAACTTCAACTCTAGAAACAATGACAATTTTGTTATTAAATTTCACATAAACATTTACACAGTCAATACTACTAACAACTGTTTTCATAAAACAGTAAATGCACTACGCATTAACTTAAACGAAGAAAACAACACTAAATATTTGTCAAATGTGAGGAGCATCTTATTGACACACGAAGAATCAGTTTTTATGTCTGTTTTTTGTTGTTGTTATTTTATGTATTTTTCCATTTTTGTGGAAATTGTCTGTGTAGTAAATAAACAATTATTAAAGATAGTTGAAATTCCTTACAAAGAATCACAGGTAATTCAATTATCACACTTACCCGAATATAAGATGACCCCATAATTTTAAAGAGGCTTTCAGAGTAGTTCTTTTTTTTTTGTACCTATCCTATTTACCTGAATATAAGACTCGATATCGAAAAATATGTTGTCTTATATTTGCCCATTATGCCTAGTTGATTAAGATTTACATTTTACATTGCCTTCCGTGAACACACTTTAATGCTGATATAACAATAAGCTGTGAAGATGATGAAAATATCACATGTATCTATAATATACAATAATATAGTTGATTAATAATAATAATAATAATTGTTTAATTAATTATAAATCGTTTTGTCTGTATTTAATATAGAATTATAAGAAACAATTATAACAGTTTATTCTTCTTAAACTTTTTCAGTCATCTGTTGTATCCACTCAACAATAAATTCAATGGACTTTGTGGAAAATGTTGAGTGAATTCTCTTCCAACATATCCACTTGTTAATCCTAAGACAATGAAAAACAGACAAGAAGAATTCAATTATATATGGTTCGAAGCGTAAAATGTTTAAGAATAAATTGTCTATTAATACTTGGTTCAACTCAATTAATTATTGAGATCACTGTCTGATGTTTATTAGACCAGTACTGAAGTACTCTTCTGTGGTTTGGTCACCTTATTTCTCAAGCAGTATTTCAAGAGTTAAAACCATCCAGCGTAAATATTTTGGACTTGCTGCATACCTTGTATGGGTTCAGTATCCTTTTCACACTCATAATTATAGAACAATAGCTCCATGTTTCATTGAAATCTTATAGGGATTATATTAATATGATGTTTTGGCGTAAACTTTCAAGTAGTACAACTGATGTTCACTTTTGCTGAATTTATTGAGTTTTAAAGTTCCAAACGTGAATACCAGAAGATCTAAAATTTTTGCTCAGAAGTGTTATAAACATTGATATTGTAGGCTTCTGTGGCCGGAGGCAGTAGCCACTTGGCTGTCTGGGAGATACCAGGTCTTAGGCACAGGTGCTGTCGAACTACAAATGATTTTTTTACATTAATATGCTCAGAGCCTCATATACCACCAATAAACCTGTAAATAGAACATGTACCTAATCAATGATCATAAAATTAATATTTTCAAACCATAGTATGCAACATTCAAAAGTCATTGTAAGCGAGAAATGGTTGAATTCACATCATTTCATTTACTTATTTATACTCCACCAACTGCTTTTCTGCACTGCTTGTGAGTCCTTAAAACACATATTGTATGTACTTCCTACTGTGTCACTGTAACCAGTTTGGCTAGCAAAGGACATAGGTACATGTATTTTTGAAAATAAATTTTATTGAGCTATAACTAATTTCATGTTCTTTAAAATTATCATGACTGTTTTTGTCAGTACCTTCACCTTTACATGTACCATTATTCCTTGTTGCTTGGTACTCCTCCCAGAATAAGTTGTCCTCTACGTTTTCAGCAATGGGTGCCAAGATGTCTATATACAATAGATAATTAGGTATTACAGACACTTGTAGTACATATCACATTTGCAGTTTATTGTTACATCAGCATTCAAGTTTTTTGGCATGAAAAGTCAGTGTAAAAACTCGCATCCAAATGAACTACGCTTAATCGGTAAATAGAAAATGACCCCATATTTTTTTTAATGAGGTAATTAGAACAAAAAATGTTGCCTTATATTCGTGTAAATACGATAGAAAACTGTCTTTTTCTTTGTTTACATACACCCATTTTCTCACTAAAAAGGAAACTGACAGAAAACAACTGTAGTAAAAATATCAGATTACTGAAAACTATGAATTATCTATTCATTTTTACTGAAAAAAAAAAAAAATATAGACAAAAAAATAGAATGAAATAATCAATGTAAAGAGTAAGCATTAAGAATCACAAGGACCAAGTTTCCGAAACCAGTGAAAGAACAATCTGCCCAAAGAAGGCAAGACAAAGTTGTGAAAATGTGCATAACCACCCCTTTCACCCTCTGGCCTGGACTTGCTGCACAATCACACCTACTCTACACAAAAACAAAAACCAAAAAAAATCTCACCTGCTCAGCTGGTGAAGTGCGCAAGGTACTGCCATCGGTTGCTGCTGTGGACCCTTCGTCATCTGAACCTCCAGCAGAAGCTGTTGTATCAGAAAAGTGACCAGCTTCTTGAACTTGACCAGCATTTTGAACTTGAGCCAATCCTTGAGAAGCCAGTACTTGCAAGCTCTGAAAAACACAATTTTAAATTTCAAAGTTATTAACAGACTTTTATAATTAATGAACATTATATTAGTTTTATAACTATTTTGAATTAAACATTTTTTTTTTCTTTTCAATTTCAACTTTTCACAATTTTAAAATATTTTCGAATATTGAAACCAAAACACGAGTTTGGAAAATACTGATTTTATGTGATGAAGTATAAAGAATGTTAATAATTTCATTACAAGAGATGAGAACTATGTTTTTTATATAAATTGATTATTTATCTTGAGAATACATTATTATTAACAATTATCCTTAAGTCAAACATTGTGAATTTGGTTCAATCATTGAAAGTTGGGTGAAATGAGAACCATGTGGTTGTCTCTGAAAGAGGTTGTTCAATCTACTGTGTTTTCATCAGAGGTATGTGAAAGTGTTTGGATTCAAATTTAACATTCAGTTAGTTTTATTAGGCTAGATTACTACTAATTATCACTTCAAAATTTCAATTGATATCCAGGATTCCAATTGAAGGTATGTTAAAAATACTCTGTAAGAATACCCAGGGGCAACAATTAGGTTCAATGTGACCCAGTTTTTTCTCCAGAGCTAAAGAAGTGTTCAAACAGTGGCAAACCAAGATTTCATGGCTATCACAAAACAAACCTGTGCTACTTGCAAGGCTTGCCCACTGAGATTTTGAAGACCTGGGAGATTTGCTAAACCCTGAAGTCCTTGTTGTAAACCCTGTTGCAACACTTGTAGATCTGCACCACCTTCATGATCCTGAAGAAAATAATTAACCATAAACATATTAGAAATGTAAAAAAGCCATACATTTAAAGTAACTAATTAGTTACAACATATAATTTTCACATGAAATACAAGTCAAATCACTGACTCCACTGGTGAGTTCAAATTAAATCAAAAGAAAAATAAAACATCTCAAAATTTGTAATTTTGTAGGAGAACTGTTTTATGATGAACTGAAATATTTAAATCACTGTGTGCATGAAATAGTTGAAATAAATCTGTCTTGTGAACTATTTTATCATCTTTTTCTTTTTAACAATAGATTTTTTTATATTCACTACAAAATGACAATTACAAATCAGTAAATCATACTGAGCACATGACCTCTGTTAATGTAGTCCCGAAACTAAACCAAAAAGGCAGAGACTTTTACATAATTCAAAAAACAAAATCCTTATTTCACATCACAGGCTTTTATTAATACCATAGTATATTTTTTGTTTCAAATACAAGAAAAAATATACTCAATTCTAAAATACATATTTCATAGAATAGAGGCCACAGGTTAAAAACACTTATCTAACTTTTGTTTCTGGTCTTGAGAATTCTTGGACGAGATATTTATTCGTATTTTCTTGGTTCTAATTTAATGTTAATGATAATCATTAGTTGTGTGTTATTAATAAAAATCATTCTTCTAAATTGTACTATGATTTTTTACCCTTCTCTCATTTGTCTTAACCTCTGAATTGTGCTTTTTCTTTGCACCATATAATGTAAAATGATAAAGTGTGCATGTTGACAAAATGTAAAGGGAAGGATCAATCAATACCGACCTGTAGGCTGAGAGCAATAGCAAGCTCCACCATTGTTTCATCATCTGCATCTGGGGGAATATCCAGCAAAGGAGGGAAGCCACCTGGCCCCAACAAAGCTTCAATTGGATTTACAACCCCTGCCACATTTGCTGCTCCAGGTCCTGAAAGTTCAATCACAAAGGGGTGGTAAGACACACATTAAGAAACAAAGAAAACATATTTGGTTCACAATTCTAACCAGTTAATTGTCTAATAAACTGTTGTTACCAAACAAATGACACAATAAGCATCAACTTTCAAAATTATTTACTGACTAGCATCTTTTGTACTCTATAAATATTCTGAAGGGACTAGAAATCGAACTAGTGTTTCTCACTTGCCTGACTGTAGCCAATTAACTCTTCTATCTCACTAGGAAAGAGTTATTTTATTTCACAAACATAACTAGTCTAATAACTGTCTAACAAGCTCAAATCACACAAGTACATGATAAAATACATAACAATTGTCTACTTCTCAGTTGTACAAAATTAAGCTATGTTTGACTTAGAAACTTAGAAAAAGATGAAAAATACTCGCGGAAACATTTGGAACAAATGACCAATTTTTTGACATTGAGCTCCGTTCAACATAGGAGCAGAAAGCATTAAAACGTAATGGTGTATCTTTAAAATACAAGGAATTTAAAAAGTACTACAAAATAAATTAACCTACAACACAAAAAATTAATGCCCAAATGAAATTGAAAAACAATTTAATTATTTTTCTTCCAATGACATTTGACATCACATTTATTTTGCTAAAGATACAATTTTTTCAGGATCTGGTGATTATCATTCTAGGTCAAAAATGTTTCATTTTATGAGAAATAAACAGACTGTAAAATGCAAATTTAAAGGGTAATATGGGTAGGGTATAAATTGCATAAAAGTTCAATACTGACCGGCATCAGGAGCCAACAACACCATGGGCTCCACAGCATCCACTTCAAAATGTTGCTCTTCATTCGATTCTTGTGATGGCTGAGAAACTGGCCCTTTTTCAGATTCCATTTCAGTTGTGCCACCTACAAGTATTCATAATATGAGACGAGTGAGGAGGTAGACTTTAATTATTTGAGTATTTTCAAGGTTGACTTTCAGGTGTTGATGCCAATGCAAACGGTACACATTTCACATTTGTTAAGTTGTAATAATTTTTCTTTTGAAAAGAGATAAAACAGTAAAGGACAATTTTTCTATTTGTCCAAAAAAGTTATAAAGAAAAATGTTTGAGTAATTTGTGCACAAATGTTGAAAATGCTTCTCATAAAGTATCTCAAAACAAAAAGACACTTCAAATCTGAAGGGCAAAGAATGTCGGAGAATATTTGATTTTTGACGAAAACCCTGAAGCTTCCTTTTCAGCTGCCATCTATTGCTACATTCAAACCTATTAGAGCTACCTCATGCAAGCCAAACATCACAAAGTTTCTCTTAGGTTCATCTCAGTTCTATTCCATGATATACGAGGGTGAGTTAACTGAAAACCATAAAAGTATAATAAAAAATTCAAATGTGGCGCTAGTGATCTGTAAGTTAAAAGGCATGTTTTCAATAGTGTGCCAGATGTCTCCTAGATGGCATCATTGTGAAGAAACACAACTTTTGGACATCGGCACAGCCACAGTGTAAAAATGGCTGCCCACTACCAACATGTACCAGAGAGGAACAGCGTTTGGTTTTGCAAAGTGAAGGTGTGAAACCTATTGTCACTCTTCGACAAATAACGGTTCAGTTTGGGGATGCCTGCTTGTCACAGCAGCAAGTGTACAAATGGTGTGACATCCTTGGCCGAAGCTCAGCGCCCTGCCCAGGTACATCGCGTTGTGATTCCAAAGACCATTGGAGTCGTTGATGCAAACATGATGGACAACTGTTGAGTGACATTAGATGACATCACAAATGCTGTACAGTCATGGTTCAGCACATCTCACTGTGCATGATGTGCTCCAATTTCATAAGGTGTCTGCATGATGGGTGCTCCGATAACTGATCTAGGAATTGAAACAGTGACATATTGTTGCTTGTGAAGAACTTTTGTGGTGCATTAAACCTGACGGTAATGCTATTCTTGGACATATTGTCATTGGGGAAGAAACTTGTGTCCACTACCATCGGCTGGACACGAAGGGAGTGAGCAAGAAGTGGCAGCACTCCATATCACCAAAACTAAAGTAATTTCGAACTCAGCCACCTGCAGGAAAGGTTATGTTGACCCTATTCTGGAACGAATATGGCATCTTGGATCACTACATGCCTATGCACTACCTGACATAAAAACGAAACGATGTGGACTGCTATTGGCAGGTGTTCTGCAACACAACAATGCATGGCCTCATACGGCTCATGCAACTGTTGCGACAATAACAGGCCTGAGATTTGAATGCCTCCCACATTCACCATTACTCGCCCTATCTTGCCCCAAATGATTTCACATGTTTGGGCCACTCAAAAAGGCAAATAAGCAAGAAGTTCCGTTCGGACATGATGAGGTATGCCACATGTTGCATGAGTAGTTGTGACCTGTCCCCAAAACATTTTCTTCCACAGGAATTCAGGCACTTAGGAAGCGCTGGCAGACCTGCATTGAAGGAGACTGTCAAAAAGTAATCCAGATTTGTACCCTATGTGTACAACAAAAATATTTAAAAAATAATTATGGTTTTCATTTGATTCACTCTCGTATATGGTATGGTAACCTAACTCCCATTAAACTTAAAGAATTTTTGAAAAATTAAGAAGATTTAACAAAAATGGAACCTTCAACATTGTTATAAACATACTTCAATCCAGAAAAAAATCTCTCTCTCTCCATATATACATACGCATTCCCAAGCAATTTGCAAGAAAATTTCCAAAATTTTCTAGAATATCAATTCTATTGAAAATTCTATGTAAGGTTTGGACTGGTCTTCAACCTTCTTACACCAAAGTGCTATTTTATTTTGGTTGTAACCCTAGTGGGCAGCTTTCAATAAACAATAACAAAGTAACATGATACTACAAAGGAAAAATAGATCATATTTATATTGCAATAACTGAGGGAATTTCTTAACAGAGGGTCTACATGTGTGTGTTTCATATTTTGCATTCCTTTTTACTGTGTAATGGTAATGAATAGCATGAGCTTGCTGGCCACCAAAATGCCATAGGCCGCATGTGGTCCCTGCGTCACAGTGTGAAGATGACTGGTTTAAGCATTGGTGTGACACACTGAAATGTGTGCGGGCGGGCGCGCGCGCGCGCTCACACACACACACACACACACACACACACACACGGGCAGATGAACAGATATTTTAATGAGAGAAGAAAAGGGGCAAAATCAACAAACACACTACTTCACTTTCAGTCAAATATCCTTATTAGGGATATAATTATTACAAACACATGGTTTAGTAACGAATGAGTCTGACACAAACCACATTTAAATTATCTTGTAATGCTGTGCCCTACTGTGTAGGAGTTTCCAATTACAACTCAACTTACCGGGGGTACTACAATGAGGTGGACTGGGAATCAGAACACGACGTCGACGTAAGCGTGGTCTCAGGACTCGAATTACAGCCTGTTTAGCACTGAAGCTCACAGCTAGGTCTTCACACAAGAGAAGCTGCAAATACAGCTTTGCAGCCAATGTGACAGTGCCTTCTATATCACAAGTTGTAAATGCGTGTATAATCTCCACAATTGCATGAACAGTAGCCTCCACATGCGTCAATCCTGATTATAAAATCAAAAATTTTAATTAATGCAAACAATAAATTACAATTACATTCCAAAATGTACAAAAAAACAAAAACAAACTTTGAAACTGAAAGAGGGTGACCAACAATAAGTTACATATTTTCAATATTTTTTTCAGATTTTTTCCACACACTGATGGCAACTGATGAAATTTCTTATTCTGATAATTTCTTACAATTGTGGGGTTCCATTCAGAAAATTTGTGTAGAGATTCACAGACCTGATATCTTCACTCATAAAATTTTTCTACATTTGAAACAATACTGTCAATATTCAAAAGTTAAAAGAGGATCAGGGTATTCGAGAAAAAGACAACAACAGATATTGACTAAGGATTCACTTCCAATGACCATTTTGGAACACTGTCAGGCAATAAGGCAATGTTTCTAAACAAGTTCACTGCAGTCAAGCAATGCAAAATTAAAAACATTCCTTGGCAACTATATGTTTTCCACATAATAATAAATTCTCTAACTGTTGGCCACATTGAAAAAGAAGAAGAAAAAACAACAACAAACAAACACAAAACAAAACAAAACCAACAACACCCACACAAACTAATAACAAAACAACATCAATCTTAAAAGATTGAAGTCGAATTGTTAATCAACAAGTACACACCTGGCACACACACTGCGGCCAGAGCCATATTAGCGGGATGTAACATATGAAGACACCACATAGCATCCATAAGTTGCACCATAAGATGTTTCTTCTCAATACTCTCTTCTGTTTTTCCTTCTTCTGCATGTTCTATTTGTTGGTCAGCAAATTTGGCCAAATTGTGAGGTCTTGCAACAGCCACACCACGAGCCATTAATACAAGTCTGTAGAATGCTTCTGCATCTAAATCTCGAGGATCTTGTACAGCTCGAAGAGAAATTAAGGACTGGTGCACATGGTTGAGCAGAGCTTGATCCTAGACAATCCCCCAATCATAACTAATTATCATGCCAAGCAATGATTAATTATACATTCATCACTGGGAGAGGGAGAGGGTGGAGAGAGGGAGGGAGAGAGAGGGAGGGAGAGAGAGGGTGGAGAGAGGGAGGGAGAGAGA